AGTATTCTTAGCTTCTGAACCATCTCTCCTGCCTGTTTTTTAAAAACATTTTCTCGGGGGTATAATTTATAACAAAGTTAAAGAATTTTTTTGAGTTAACCGTTGTAAGATCGAGGACCACACAGCCATGCTGTGCTACACTGCCTGACAGCACTAGCTGCTTGAGTTTGCTCCCTTTTCTGGTGTCATGTTTCACGTACTCCATGCCAACCTTCAGCTCCATATGTAGCCTCAGATGACCTTGAACTCATTCTTCTGACTTCACCTCCAGAGGCTGGCACCACTCTGTTTGGCCGACTTTTCTATTGTAACGAATTATTATTTTAAAAAAATCAAGTCCTCCACTCATTGTGGGAGAATCTGCATGTGTAAGACCACAGGTAGTCGCTGTATGAGCTTGATTATCCATCTTTCTAAAGTAGTTTTACTCTATTTGTTGGTTGGTAGGTTCGTTGGTTGGTTGGTTGGTTCGTTGGTTGGTTGGTTGGTTGGTTGATTTTTCTGGAACTTGAGATCTTTAAAAGCAAAGGTCTGGTAAAATGGCTAAATAGGTTAAGGCACTTGCAATCAAGCCTGATGACCTGAATTCAATCCCCAAACCCATATGGTAAAAGGAGAGAACTCAGTGCTGAAGCAGGAGGATCACAAGTTTAAGGGTAGTCTGGGCTACAGAGTGATGTCCCATCTCACAGAAAGAAGGAAGGAATTACAGTGTCTTAGTCACTGTTCTACTCCTGTGAAGAGATTCACTGGCCAAGGCAACTCTTTTTTTTTTTTAAAGATTTATTTATTTATTATATGTAAGCACACTGTAGCTGTCTTCAGACACCCATATGAGGGCATCAGATCTCATTGTAGATGGTTGTGAGCCACCATGTGGTTGCTGGGATTTGAACTCATGACCTCTAGAAGAGCAGTCAGTGCTCTTAACCGCTGAGCCATCTCACCAGCCCCGCAACTCTTTTTTTTTTTCTATTTTTAAAAAAGGTGTATTTATTTAATTTATGCATAAGAGTACACCACCATTGCTCTCTTCAGACACACCAGAAGAGGGCACCAGACCCCATTACAGATGGTTGTGAGCCACCATGTGGGAATTGAACTCAGGACCCCTAGAAGAACAGTCAGTGCTCTTAACTGCTGAGCCATCTCTCCAGCCCCCAAGGAAACTCTTTTTTTAAAAAAAGCATTTAATTGGGAGCTTTCTTACAGTTTAGGAGGGTTAGTCCATTTTCAGCATGGTGGGGAGCATGATGGTACACACGAGGCCCCGAAGCAGTAGCTAAGAGCTATAGCCTGATCTACGGCAACAAACAGATAACTGAGCCTGGCATTCAAATATATGAGCCTATGGGGGCCATTCTTATTCAAACCACTGCAGAAAGGAAGGAGAGAAAGAGAAAGGGAGAGAGGGGGAAAGATCTTATTTATTACATACGTGTTCTTGGGCATGCCATTGTACTAGTGTGGAATTCAGAAGATAATTTCCATCGTGGGTTCTGGAGGTTTAAATCAGGTCACCAGGCTTTCATGGCAAATTATTGTACCTGCTGAGTCATCTTGTTGGCTCAGGAAATATTATTTTTCCCGCCTCATGATCATATGCCTTTAGTTTTGTTTTTTTTTTTGTTTTTTTTTTTTTTAAAAAAAAAAAAAAAAAAAAAAAAGCTCTCTCTGTGCAGCCCTGGCTTTCCTGGTCTCAATCTGCCAAACAGGCTGGCCTCGAACTCACAGATACCCACCTGCCTCTGTTTCTAGTACTAGGATTAAAGGCTTGTGCCACCACTTGGGGCCATTTGCCTTTGTTTTTATATCAGCACTCCAATGTTCCTTTGGGGGCAACTGTGCTATTCTGAATCAGACAATTTGGGTAGGCTTTGCAGTATAGATGTGCAGTTTATTCCAGCTTTGAGAGAGAACACAGGGCCCATGCTCAAACTGACTTATAGAGCCCATCCTGGACCAAAAACAGTAGCTCGGAACAAACTCTAAAGATCTTTGTTAGAACTTCTGGGTTGAAAATGACTCCTTTGATCCTAGAATATGACACTGTAAGGTAGGAGGTAAAACAGAACTCCTTGAAGTGACATCCTATCTGAGAATGAAGTCTACAAGTACAGGCATCAATGTATCAACTTGTGAGGCTCTGGAGGCAGCCTGTGGCCAGACTACTATAAATCAATATATTGTCTTCCTCCCAACCAGTTTAGATGGTTGCACTGAGAAAGTCCTAATTAAGTCAATATATAATAAAATTCACAGACTTTGGGGGGGGGAGGTAACAGAGTGTTTTAGGAGAGAGAGAGGCTAAGACAATTTTAAAAGAACACAAAGGAGTTCTATGAGGTACGTTGGCCTTTTCTAGTTAATAGGAGCACTCCAAGCAGTGCCAGCAGCATGGAAGTGAGGTGGATACTCACTCATTTCTCAGTAAATTCTCTGGGCTTCCATTGGAATCACTATGCCAACAAATATGTATTGAGTACCTGGCACTGTTAGACAATGAAAATGATTTCAACCCCCAGATGGTATGGTCAAATATGGCGGCTGAGCCAGGAAGATTTCTGTATGTTCAAGGTTGCCTGGTCTATCTAGTAAGTTTAGACCAGCCATAGCTACATAGTGAGACCATGTTTAAAAAAAGAAAGAAAGGAAGAAAGAAAGAAAGAAAGAAAGAAAGAAAGAAAGAGAGAGAGAGAGAGAGAAAGGAAGAAAGAGGATCGAGGAGGAGGATAAAGGGAAGGAGGGAGAGAAAGAAGCACACAAGTCAACAACAAAATGAGAAAAATCCTGCGCTCTTGTACCTTGTCATCTTGTAATTATGGGTAAGGAAAACCAATTTTAAAGTAATACAGCAAACTGAAAGAGATATAAAGAAGAAAGGGACTGCTGAGCCATTGCTAAATTTTGTCAGAGTGAACCACTGATTTATTTATCACAGCTCCAGCAGGAAGAAGCTAAGCGGCTTAACCCAGACCACCTAGGAAGTGGTAACATCAGAACCGAAACATGAAACTTGGAGCTTTTCCAGGTTATACTGTCCCAGCCCAGGAGTGTTTTAGCTGGTAAACCTCCCACTTTTCTTGGGCTCCGTTTGTTGCCTCTGGGGAATTTTGACATTACTTACTACCTCTTCTTTTCCCAAACCTTGCCTGTGCTGTTCTGGTTCTCTCTCCCTTCCTACCCACCTTTGCCTTTTCTCCTCCTCATAGCTCAAATATAAGTTACTAAGTAACCCATCTGAGGGTCACCACACTGAACTCTTTCTTATCAGGGATTGCCACTCATATCACATCTTTACGAATGGCCCATTTGAATTGTGCTCTTCCCTTACTCATAGTTCTGACTTTAGTTCCTCACCTGCAGTCTTCCCAAAACTTCATGGGCAGCTTTTGTCATGAACCATTAGAAATGTGGAACATCCTCAGTTGCCCAACCCTTCAGCCCTGTGATACTCTGAGCCTCTCATTGCTCGTAGGCAAATAGGACAGAATTTTTTTTCTTTCACCACCAATGCACAAATACCCTTCATAATGAATGACCTTCCTGTTTCTAATTCGTGTTGAGAACTACCCATGTTTAATTAAGAGAAACGTGTAATTTATTAGAATAAAAAACTACCATTTTGCTATTACATTTTGATGTGTGTGTCAGGCTATCCATATTACTTTGAGATAATGTTTTGAAGTGGATATTACTGTACTCACTTGCTTAAAAGTTTTAAAGAGTTGGGATGCCCTGCATAAGGTCACACAGTAACTGGCAGAGGTAGACTTTGGATCAGGTCCATTGGACTTCAAAGCCCATGTGCCTGGCCTACAAACTGCCTCCCAATATCAGCTAGTTCTGGGCTGAATAGAAGGCCATATTAGGACTAACTTCTGTATTTCAACCAAATTTTCAAAAACTCCATATATATAGTTTCATTTAATGTTTATAATAATACCGAGAGGGTTAGTTGTGGTGTCCTTATAGATACAAATATTAAAAAATTTAAAAAGGCAAGTGACACATGGATGCAAAAGGAAAGCCAGATGCCAAACTCGGTTCTTTTCTCAGTTCCTCGTTCATTCTCTGCATTACACACTGCCTTCACTAAAGTGCCGTCTGGTACAGAACAAGGGAACCAGAGCTAGAGCAATGCCTTTTCTCCATTTTGCCTCTAATAGCCTGTGTAGTCCAATTGGCACTGAAATATTTGTTCATCTGTGTAATAAATCTTGAGCACTGGTACATGCCAGGCACTGGGTGAAAATTGTGTACAAAGGCCATCTCGGTTCCTGAACCCAGAGTTGACACTCTCAACTGGCAAAGACAATTTCCCAGTGACAGGTGTCACAAGGCAACGAGTAGGAAATTCGGATAAAATGATTTTCAAGTAGTCAGAGAAGACGTAAAAAAAAATTTTTTTTGACAGTATGTCACCATGTAACCCTGGCTTACCGGGTATCCAGTTTGTAAACCAGATTAGCCTTGAATTCACATATCCACATGCCCCTGCCTCCCATGCTGGATTAAGGGCCTGTGCCACCACATCTGACCCTGAGGGGGCACATTTTGTTGCTGTTGCTTTGTATTTCCAGTATTGAGGAATGAAACCAAAGATGTTGGTAAGTACTCTACCACTGAGCTAGTGGTAAACGCAAAAGGAGGAACCTGCAGAATTCATTGTTAAGCCAGACAGGATCTGTTGGTCATTAGACAGGATAACTCTAACGGAAAACACCCATTAAACTTTATGTCGTCAAAGCCTGAAAAGAGGATAGAAGTATAACTCAGTTCTTCCAGTTGTTAGTTCTCTGACCTTGCCTTTGCCGTCAGGGTCACCCCACCACCACCACACCATTACCATTCCCTCCTCCCTACTCCTTCCGGATACTTCCGGCTTGCGCAGGCGCAAGAGAAATCGCTTGTCCTAGTGGCGCGAGGAGCCCACACCCAGACGCATGCGCGTCCCGCCCATAAGCCCCGCCCCAGGCGCCCCCTCGCGAGCGCCTGCCGTTTCTTTGGGCGGGCCAGTGGGCGGGGCCTAGGTGGGCGGCGCGCCGCGGGCGGGCCAGTGAAGCGGGCGCCCCCGACACGTGATCTGGAACCGGCTGTGTCGCTTGGTGACTCCGTCTGTCCGTCCGTCCGCGGGTGCCATCATGGCGGACGCGGCCAGTCAGGTGCTCCTGGGCTCCGGTCTCACCATCCTGTCCCAGCCGCTCATGTACGTGAAAGTGCTCATCCAGGTATGAGTCGTCGCCTTTTCCTTCCCCGCCGGCGTCCTGTTAGGTCGCCACCGCCCTCTGCGCCTGTGGGTCGGCTCTGCGTCCCAGGCCTTCACCCTCTCGAGATGCTGCCCTTCTCTCCCGTCAGGAACAACTTCCACGGCCTCGCGGCCCCTCTCGGAAATATCCCGAGACTCGCCCCGGACAGGCCCGCTCCTTTTCCGCAGCCAACTGCCACCCTGGCCTTCCCTGGCCGGTGACTCTTCTCAACTTTGTTTTTTCTTCCTGATCCTGGCCGGTTGCCACCGAGGGCCTCCCAACCCTTTTCTTGCCGCCCCTCTGAAATTGGCATTCACCTCACCTCGTCCACTCCTCCTCGGAGAAATATCACAAACTCGAGACGAGAAATAACTCATCTAAGGACAAATTTAAAATTCTAGGAAAACCAACATCTTACTGTTTTTATTCGGTTTTTCTGTTTTGCTGTTTCTACTTCTATTCTCATTCAGAGATTTTAACACCAGATACCCAGATATACACAAGGAGCTCATTGAGAAGTGATAATGAAGTCAGATTTCCTAAGAATCCATTGAGCTCTTTCACAGTAGCCCATGTGGTTCATGACAATGAAAATCACGTTGGTCAGAGCTGGAAATCAGTTCTGTTTAAACACTTTAGCGAGTTTAAATGTAACATCAAACCCCCGGATGTCCCTCTTGCCTCGCTTTCCAATCTTTCCAATCTGCTATAAAATATTTCTAAAGTGGTCATTTATATTCATGGGTAAGGAGGCCTACTTTTAGCTGATGAAGGTATTTTCAATTGCTTTTCTAACTTTCTCTGTGATGAACAGACCATTTTTTAAGCATTTATTGAGGGTTGACATAACTCATGCATTGTGTCCTGGAAGGAAGCAGGCTTTAGAATCCCTGTCCTTAATGTTTACCATTCTGGAGAGAAAAAAAAAAGCAAGACTCTGGAATGGACTTCATTTTTGAATTGTTATTCATACAAATTGTTACAAGCTAAGTTGACTAATATAAGTTCAGATTTTAGTGTAAGTCTTGAAGCGCAAAGAGTGAAATCTATGTCTAAAACAGAATCGACAGCATTTTGCAGTACACGTAGGAACCCACTACTCAGTAGTTCTCAAAGGACAGTGTTTTTAGTGACATTCAGTGCTCTTGCCTCAACAATTCAATATCCTAAATTCTGATTTCACAATATCTTGTGTGTTGCCAAGTATCTCAGGAGGTTGATGAAATTCCCAAATACTGTTTTAAAAGTTGCATGGTAGCACTTTCAGTGAGCTCAGAGGGGGAGTTTTAGCACAGATAGAGGAATTGCAACAATAGAGAGCCCAAACTGCCCTGTATTTTTTTTATCTTAAGTATCCCTTTGGCACTGTAATCCCTAAATATATTGTACAAATAAAATGGCAATCATTAATTTTTATGACTTTCTGTATATTGCTAATGAGTCTGTACATTTAACGTGGATCTAACTTGTAATTATTTTTGTAAGTGAATGACCCAGCTGTATGTGTTTGCCTTTGTTGTCTAGCTAGCCATATAAGTAGGCATTGATACTGACTCAGTGAATATTTTATTTTGTTCAAATATGAAAAATATTGTGAAAAATATTTGTCAGCCTTATCAGTAAACTAGGCTTTCCTGACAGAATGGTTTCCTTGTTCTGTTTTCAGTTTAATAATCTTAGTTACATGGTTTACTCTATAGACTCAACTCAAAGGGCAAATTGGAGTTTATTGAACCCAGTCTTAATCTATCCAACAGAACAAAAGACTGATAAGGATGTTACTTCATCAGTGACTTAAAAAACCTAAACTGCATTTTTATTTGTAAAAATTATGGGGCTAAGGAGGTAGCTTGCTGGCCTTGAGCATAAGGATGGACATAGGGTCCATTTCAGCATCAGACATAAACAAATTTGAGCCTTATTTTCTTTTTTCAAGACCCTGTACCCAAAGTATTCCTGGGTATTGCTTAGTGTTGATGCATTCCTTTGTTTTTAAAGGTGGGATATGAGCCTCTTCCTCCAACAATAGGACGAAATATTTTTGGGCGACAAGTATGTCAGCTTCCTGGCCTCTTTTGTTATGGTAGGTGCCTTTGATTTATCTGGAATGGTTGACATTGAAGGCTGGAGTTACTAAAAGAAAATACATAGAAGGCATGCTGCCTTGAAATATTTTGTAACCTTGGTTTTGGACTAGAATCTAAATCTCTGACTTGTGTTCTTAGCTCAGCACATTGCAACCATCGATGGGAAGCGTGGGTTGTTCACAGGCTTAACTCCAAGACTGTGTTCAGGAGTCCTTGGAACTGTGGTCCATGGTAAAGTTTTACAGGTAAGAGGAAATCAATTAATGTTCTCATATATTTTGGCTACCTTTTATGCACAGTTTATTCCACTATAAAGAGAAGTTTCAAAGATGAACTTATAACCTCTTTCTCTTAAAAGATATTTTCTCTTTATTGATTAACTGAATGATGGAAAACAAGATTTCTCTGTGAAGCATAGACTAGCCTCACTCTTGCTTAGCAGGCTGGGATGGCCTTGAATTTGATTTACCTTCTGAGTGCAGAAATTACAAGTTCATGCCCACATGCCTCTCTTGAAAACTTTTTCATGAAATACTTACTTTTCCCCAAGAAACAAGAAATTCATGCAGGTTGAAGTAATTGACCTTGATATATATGGCCTTCTTCTTCCTTTAAAACAGATTCTAAGGAGAAATTAGATCCATTCGCCTATATAGTTTGTTATTTTTTAAACTTTTTTTTAATTTTTTGTTTATCGATTTATTGCAGAGGAAGAAAGCTAATTAAAACATACTTTTTTCTGGAGTTTTTTTTTAGATTTCTAATATTAGCCTAGTGACACATTTTCTCTAAGTATTGAAAAGAAACAAGAGCTGTTGCTATGCATAATGGTATATGCTTGGAATCCTAGCATTTTGAGGGTGGAGGAAGAGAGATCAGGAGTTCAAGGCCTAGTCAAGTTTAAAGTTGAAAAAAATAAAATAAAACTGATCAATGCAGGTAGTAAAATGGTTTTGGAAGCATCAGTCCTAGGGCTTCATGCTACAACGGAGTATGGTCTGAGCCCATATCCCTCTCAAGGTTCCTCCGATTATATACACCTTGCCATATGCTGGATCTCTGATCCTGGTGCCAGCTGGTAGAGGTTGGTGGCATGGAGAGTAGTCATGGCAAGAATAGTGGTCTCAGGCATATTGTGCAGGCTGGCCAGGGCCTCCTGTAGCTTCTGCCAGATGATAGTCCCATTTGACTTAGGTTTGCTTCCAAGCACTCAAAGTGGTGAAATGCTGCAGTACTGCAGTACCTAGACAGCCTGGTCTATATATAATGCATGCATGTACCCACCTGAGCACAGATACTGGTTTGCAGAAGGGCGTTGGGCACCTTTCTTAGAGTACCTGAAGTTGATGGACTTGTGGAAGCTGTTGCTTGTCCACTTTGTGAAAGGTACTTTATGGGTTAGAAACACTTCCACAGATTTTATAAACTTTAATGACCCAGCTGAAGTGAGGAATTCCCGAGTTCTGTTTGACCACTGTTGTAATTTTTATCAGATTTCAGCATCCTAAAGATCTTCCTGGATAGGCCTGCTTTCACCAGAACCATGGTTAGCATTTCATCACTTTGTGCCCTGTAGCCTTTCAAGGGCTGGGTGTTATATTGTATTCAGAAGGCAGCTACTGATATTCCAGGTCCTCCTGACAAGAACCTAGTTTGAAGATGCTGAGCTATCTGAGGTCCCCTGGACACACACTTGTAGGTAGCAGTTGGCCTGGGAGACACCTGTAGACCCAGATGTGCAAAGAAGCCTGCACAGCTATGGACAGAAGGGAAGCAGTGGGTTGTAAGATGTCTTCAAAGGGACATGTTCCTCCCAGTCTGATGGAAAAAAAACATACCCTTGGCTTAGTGAGCCTTCTGCCCATGTTACAGGCATGTCCCATGAGTCTTGTGCATTCTCATATCCTGCCAACAGCAAATAAAGTATTGTTGGCTACTATAATCCCTAAGCCACAGTCAGCTGGGAGGCCCTAGGATGGTCAGCAACATTGACTGCAGGTGTCTGTGTTATACAAGCCTAGGGGCTGAGGAGACTTCTTGGGCTTGGGGGATGGGATTAAAAGAGGGTCTCTAGCTGGGCAGTGGTGGTGCACGCCTTTAATCCCAGCACTTGAGAGGCAGAGGCAGGTGGATTTCTGAGTTCGAGGCCAGCCTGGTCTACAGAGTGAGTTCCAGGACGGACAGACAGGGCTACATAGAGAAACTCTGTCTCAAAAAACAAACAAACAAACAAACAAAAAGAGATTAAAGTTAGCCTGGATTACATGAAGCTCTATCTCAAAAAACAAACCAGGCATGGTAGTGCCCATCTATGGGATGCCAAGACTTGGATGGCTGAGGCAGTCACCCTGGGCTAAGTAACTAGATCTTCAACTTTGCCTTAGAGATATTTATGTCCAGTTCATTAGTGTGGAGTAAAAATTAAGGGTTTTTCAGAAGAAAATCAGTGCTTCTCATTTTCTGACAATACCTTCTGTAACAGGACACATTAATAGTTCTAATTATCCTTCATTTCTGTGTCTTCTGTAGTATTACCAGGAATCCGAGAAACCCGAGGTATGTTGAAGCTTTCTATGTGAATCCCTGTCTCTGGGAAATTCCTACTGTTTGACCCTCCCTATGGGAAAAGCCAAGGCTTTTCCTTTTCATCTCAGTGATGTGGTATCTTATGGGGTGACCATGAGTTTGAAGACTTCTATTTAAAACCATCAAGATTTCTGTCTTTGCTTTTGATTTCCAGGAGATAGGATCTATAAATGTACAAAAAGAAGGCTCATCCTCCTTTGACCGAGTTATCAAAGAGGTAAGAGATGAATTTATCCCATGTGATTGAACCAGGATCATGCATCCTGTGCTTCCAGGTCAATCCCCAAATGAAAAGAAAAAGATCTTCAGTTTAAATTGGGTTTCCTGTCTACTAACCCAAAAGAACAGCATGGCCTGCTGTTGGGAATAAGCACTACTCACTCTGTTGTTAAGGCTGAGGCAGTTTTTACTTTTTTGTTATTATTACTTATTTTGACACAAGTCTTTTTTTTTTTTTTTTTTTTTTTTTTTTTTTCTTTTTGGTTTTTGGTTTTTCGAGACAGGGTTTCTCTGTGTAGCCCTGGCTGTCCTGGAACTCGCTCTGTAGACCAGGCTGGCCTTGAACTCAGAAATACGCCTGCCTCTGCCTCCCAAGTGCTGGGATTAAAGGCAAGCGCCACCACTGCCAGGCTTTGACACAAGTCTTGTAGTCCAAGCTGGCCCTGAACGCAAGGATCCTCCTTCCTCAGCTTTCCTCTCCCCAGTCTGGAATTGCAAGAATATGCCATCATGCCCTGCTTTGACAGTCTCTTAGGATGTTGAAAATATGTAGCAAGTTAATTTTTTTATTTTTATCTTTTTGTTATTTTATTGAAACAGGGTCTCATTATGTAGCCCTGGCCGGCCTGGGACTCTGTCCATAGATAAGGTTGGCCTCAATCTCAGAGATCCACTTGCTTCTGTTTTCCCGAGTGCTAGGATTAAAGTGGGTATGTGTGCACCATACCCAGCACACAGAAATTTTGTATGTTGGCTCTGATTTGTCCAGAGATGCTTTTGTGGTGCTACTCTACAGCTGAAATGTGCCTGTCACTTGTTTGTCTTCCCCATGTTTGACTTTAGAACTACTCTAAGGCTGGAGACGTAGCTTAGCTTAGAGCATTTCCCAGACTTAATAAAATTCAGATTTCTAAACTAAAAAAATAACTTACAATAGAAGCTCTGAGACGCCAGCCACACTTGCAGAGTTGGTGTCCCTAAGATGTTGGCATATATCTAAAGCCTAACATGTCTCTAGTGTAGATACCAGCTTCTTTGAAACCTATCATTGTAAAAGAAAGTAAATAATCCAAATTCATGCCTCATCTAGTCCTGATGCCTCAGGCCTGTAATCCCAGTTACTTTGGGAGGTTGAAGCCAAAGGAGCAGAACTTTGAGGCCTGCTTGAGCTACAGGGTAAGCTCAGAGCTGTCCTAAACAATGAGACAGACTGCATGAAGAAAGTAGAAAGGGAGCTAAGGAATATATCTTGTTAAGTAGAGTACTTATCTAGCATGGGTGAGGCCCTGGGTTCAATTCCTACTACTGCCGAATGAATGAAATGATTCAAGCTCTGGTAAGTTTCTTCAAACTGGTAACCTCTGTTTTTTCGGTGTGTGTGTGTACGTGTTTGCTTTCTGATATTTTTTTCTTGTGTATAGAATTGGGGAAAACAGGTTGAAATTCATGAGAGGTGTAATGAAATGGCAAATATGACGTTAATTCCATTGGAGCTAGCGTCTTGACTCCAAAATAGGAAAGCTTCGGTGCCTAGTCCTTCGCCCTGTACTATGTATATAGAAATAGGAATGGCAGGCTGGCTTCGGCAGCACATATACTAAAATTGGAACGATACAGAGATTAGCATGGCCCCTGTGCAAGGATGATACACAAATTTGTGAAGCGTTCTATATTTTTTCCCATGAAGGCTGGACGCTCAGTGTTGGGGAATTCGAGGGTGGGGAGGTGGGAGTGGGGAGGTGGGTAGGGGCACATCTTCATAGCAGCAGGAGGAGGGGAGATGGGATAGGGGATTCCTGGGCGGGGGGGGAGAGAAATGGGGTAAGGGGATAATATCTGAAATGTAAATAAAATATCCAATAAAAAATAAAAAAAAATAGGAATGGCATTTACTTAGATTTCAGAAGTGTGCTTTGATTGTTTCTAGACAACTCGAGAGATGATTGCTCGTTCTGCTGCTACCCTCATTACACATCCCTTCCACGGTATGTTTGCAGTTGATGGTATAAAATAATCTCACTTCTTTATTCTATAGTTTGATCTTTCTTGGACATATAGATAACTTAATTAAAAAGAATTTGTCTCTGTTCTACAGTGATCACTCTGAGGTCCATGGTACAGTTTATCGGCAGAGAGTCTAAGTACTGGTAAGTGTTTGGGATTTGTTTTTCTTAATTTATTATGTGTGTGTCCCTGCTTGTCTGTATGTGCACCACATGCATTCAGTATCCGTGAAGGCCAGAAGAGGTGTCAGATACCCTAGACCTGGAGTTAGGAACGGTTGTGAGTTCCCATTTAGAGGTTCTGGGAACTGAACCAGGGTTCTTTAAGACCAGCAAGTGCTCTTAAGCACTAAGCATCTTTCCAGCCTGTTCCGTATTTAATTACTCAAGAAAATGTGTTAAAGCAAAAAGAAAGCATTACTACTTTATATTTTTAAGGTTCTTCAGCATTTACAGAACAAATTCATACTGTTGTGTCATTTGACCTGTACCAAAAGCACTAAAATATGAGAAAATAGGCCTAGGCTAAGTTAGGAACCTATCCAAGGACCACAGAACACAAGGTAGGGCCATTGAAGCCAAATGCCCTCTGAACCACATAACCACATCCTGCATAGTCAGTCAGTGTCTCTGTCTCTCTTATTTATTTATTTATCTATTTATCTATTTATTTATTTATTTATTTGTTGGTATTTCAAGACAGGGTTTCTCTGTGTAGCCCTAGCTGTCCTGAAATTTACTTGGTAGACCAGGCTAGTCTCAAATTTACAGAGATCTGGCTGCCTCTGCCTCCCAAGTGCTGAGATTCGAGGCATGTGCCACCACCTCCTGGTTACTCCTTCGCAGTTAACTGTTTCACCTTTTTTTAAATGTGTATGGATGTTTTGCTTGCTTGTATGTCTGCACCTCATGCATGTCTGATGCATATAGAGGTCAGAAGAGAACATGAGATCCCCTGAGACCTGAGTTACAGAGGGTTGTGAGCTGCCATGTGAATCCTGGGAATTGAACTCAGGTCCTCTGGAAGAGAAGCCAGTGAGTGGTCTTAACCACTAAGCCATCCATCTCTCCAGCCCTAATAGCTTCATTTTTCTAATGGCATTTAACTACTTTACAAGACTCAACCACTGCTAGAAAATTGTGAGGAAAGGGAGTTATAAAATTGATCTTATGAAAAGTGATTATTAACCAGGTGTTGTGAGGTACCTATGATCTCCAGCCACTTTTGAAGGCAGGGGGAGTTCAAGGTCAGCCTCTACTTAATTTTGGCCGGCTTGGGCTATATGAAACCCTGTTTGTGGTGGGTGGGGAGGTAGTTATTGAAACTTCTCATAGCTCAAGTGATCTTAATGTCCTTTACCTTTTATCGTTGCCTAGCGGACTATGTGACTCCATAGTAACCATCTACCGGGAGGAAGGCATTGTAGGATTTTTTGCGTGAGTAAATGTTGGGTTTGCCTTTAAATGTTTTTGTTTGTTTGTTTGTTTTTGTTTTGTTTTGTTTTGTTTTTTGGTTTTTCGAGACAGGGTTTCTCTGTGTAGTTCTGTCTGTCCTGGAACTCACTCTGTAGACCAGGCCGGCCTCGAACTGGGAAGAAGGCATTGTAGGATTTTTTGCGTGAGTAAATGTTGGGTTTGCCTTTAAATGATTTTTGTGTTAGTAGAAAGGCTTTCTTGAAAATAAGGCAATGGACATTTATTTAATTTGTGGGGAAAATGTTCTCTTAGGGTTTACTTTATTATGTTAAGCAGTTTACAGACATCTACTGGCTTAAATTTCTCATTGTAAAGATCCTATACCTCCATTTTTTTCTAGTTGTTTTATATGTTTGAAATAAGATTTTTTTTTTTTTTTAAAGTAATGTCTTTCATAGCTCACAATTTGACTGACCTCAAACTGGATGAGGATGACTTTTGAACTCTTGTTCCTTCTGTACCTCTACCTCTGTGTGCATGTGTAGAAGTCAGGGGGAGAATCCATGTATGGGTTCCAGAAGTTGAATTTGGGTTGACAGGCATGGTGACAAATGCCTTAATCTGCTGAGCCGTTGAAGCAGGCCTTGCTTTTTTGTTTCTTTTATTTTGTTTTTAAGATAGTGTTTCAAGCTCACAGAGATTCTGCCTCTTAAGTGCTGGGATTAAGTCATTCAGTACCATGTCTAATTTCTTTGCTTTCTTAGTAAATATTTGAGGTTTATTCCTTTATAATAAGTTCTTTTACAATAAAGTTAGTAAAATGAGAAAATAACTTTTTAAAAAATGGAAAAGTTATGAATATATTTTTATTATATTAGTAGGATAAGTATTTGCAAGGCTTGACTTTGGAAGAGCTTAAACTATTGTACTTGACTAATAGAAATTTACTATGGGCAATAAAATGGTCCTTTTTTGATTGATTGATTGATTGATTGATTGATACTAGAAATCAAACACAGGTCTTTGCATATGCTCCACCACTGAGCTGTACTATTAGCTCCAGATTTCTTTTTCTTTTCTTTTTTTTAATTGTTATTTTATGTGTTTGAGTGTTTTGCTTGCATGTATGTGCAGAGGCCACCATGTCTGGAGGCCAGAACATGGTGTCAGAGCCCCTGGAACTTGAGTCACACATGGTTGTGAGCCTCTATGAGGCTAGGATCGAACCTAGGTCCTCTGGATGAGCCATCTCTCAGCCCCTAAGTTTATTTCTTTGATTATCATAAATATTCTGACAAATAGAAAAGATAGCTTATCACTAGTCTAATTTTAAATTTTATTATTTGTGTGTGTGTGTGTTTATGTGTTTCCAAGTGTATGTGTGTGTGCCATGTGCATGCAATGCCCACAGAGGTCAAAAGAGAATCAGATCTTTTGAAACTGGAGTTACAGGCCATTGTGAACTACTGTGTAGGTGCTGGGAATTAAACTAGGATCTTTAGCAAGAATAGTAAGTGCTCTGAACCACTGAGCCATCTCTCCAGCTCCTAGTCTCATTTTAAAGAAAATATTGATGAGCCTGCAATATAGTTGACTTTGTACTGTACTTGCTTAGCATATAAGAAGCTTTGTGTTCAGTCCCTATCAGATATAAAAGTGAGAGTTCTGGACAATACTTATAATCCTAGCACTCAAGAGGCAAAGGTAAGGGAGAGGTTAAGGAGTTCAAGTTATCCTTGGATGCATAGCAAGTTTGAGGTCAACCTTGGCTACATGAGACAAACTTGTGTTTCTGGGTCTGGGTGACTTCATTGGACAATATGGAACAGTGGGAACATTGCCTTGCAGACTGAAGTGTGGAGTTTAAATACCAGCTCTGTTATTTACAAGCATTGACATGCAGCAAATGAGTATCAATGTTTTTGTTTGTTTTTGGTTTTTTAAGACATAGTTTCATATGTTCTGAGACTTGAACTGGCTGCATAGCAAGGGATTACCTTGAACTCCCTCCTGCTCCTCCTGCCTCTATCTACTGAGTGCTGGACTTACAGATGTGGGCCACTACAGCCAGTTTGTATAGTACTGGGGACTCAAGTTTAGGGCCTCATGCTTCAAACACTTTTTGTTATTTGTCTTTTTTTCCAGAGCTGAGGACCGAACCCAGGGCCTAAATCTCCAACCCCTGCCCCCCCCCCTTTTTAATTTTTATTTCATGTGCATTGGTGCTTTGCCTGAATGTATATCTGTGTGAGGGTGTCAAGTCCCCAGGAACTGGAGTTACAGACAGTTGTGAGCTGCCATATGGGTGCTGGGAATTGAACCCAGATCCTATGGAAGAGCAGTCTGTGCTCTTAACCACTGAGCCATCTCTCCAGCCGGCTTCAAGCACTCTTATCAACTGAGCTACATCTCTAACCTATGGAAACACTCTCTTGCTATCTCTGTGTTTGGATCATTCTCACTTGACTTTTTTTCCTCTTCTTTTGCCTTGCCAAATTTGAGTATAAAATAAATAGTAAATAAATAGTAAAACCATGTTAAATCTCTTCTGCAAAGCACCTTGCAAATCTTTGACCTTCCCTATTATGGTTATTAATAGTAAAGTGAGATGTTGACTGTAGGTCAGAGGGTTATAGCTGACCTGTATTTTTAAAGTGAGAATAAAAGTCATTACCATTTAGATTACAAGAAGTGTTCATGCTGAGTAGACTGTTTCATTGATCATAATTTTTTGCTTACTGTGTCTTCATGTAGGGGTCTAATTCCTCGCCTCCTTGGTGACATCATTTCTTTGTGGCTATGTAACTCACTGGCTTATCTCATCAATACCTATGCACTGGACAGTGGGGTAGGTTATGACTTTGGTAAGATATGCTGGTGAAGGCTTTCTTTGTATTCACCAGCAGCCATTTTAGCTGTTAGAAAGATGGTAGTTTGTTATATGCCAGACAGAACATAGTACAGTAAAAACTATTACTTGAGGGTTTTTTTTTTAAGATTTATTTATTTTATGTATATGAGTATACTGTAGCTGTCTTCAGACACACCAGAAGAAGGCATCAGATCTCATTACAGATGGTTGTGAGCCACCATGTGGTTGCTGAGAATTGAACTCAAGACCTCTGGAAGAGCAGTCAGTACTCTTAACCACTGAGCCATCTCTCCAGCTCCTATTATTTGAGTTTTTAAAGGCTGAAGGCATGGCCATGCTATTTCCTATAGAGGGATACACCTAGAAATTACTTCAAGTCTGACTGAGTGTGCTCATGGATCTATCCCTAATATTGTCAGAGATTCACAAATTTCTTTTTCTAATAATAACTTTAGAGCACACAAAACCGAGAATAGCTGTTTGGTATATTTGGAGGTTTTCCACATCTTCTGGGATATTGAAGGGGCTCCTAGAAATCTCAGCCTGAAAGGTTTTGAGGGTCTGGATTATCTCTTGGATATAGTGTAAGCAAGACTTCCCACAGGCTTTTTTCTATGGTGTAGAACTTGTTAACCCAACACAATTTTTTGTTTTTCAAATATTGACACGAGTACATTTCTTTCTAATCCATCATAGTGTGATAAGAATTTGTCAGTATTGATTGATGAGGACAGTCCATTTGGAAATCTTTTGATAGGGTTTCAGTATGTCAGTCATCTCGATTGGCAGTTTTTTGTTGAGGTGGGGTCTGAACTATGCAGCCTGGCTGACCTGAACCTGCATCTGTCTCTCAAGTGCTGGGTATAAAGCATAAAGCCTGCACCACCACGCCCAACCTTGACGGCCATTTTTTTATATTCATCATAGGCATTTTGGGCTTGTTTTTTTTTTTTTTTATTGAATATTTTATTTACATTTCAGATGTTATCCCCTTACCCTATTCCTCTCCTCCCCCCAACCCCCACCCCCCAGGATTTTGTTTTTATTCTTTTTTGTTTTGTTTTTTGTTTTTCGAGACATGGTTTCTCTATGTAGCCCTGGCTGTCCTGGAATTCACTCTGTAGACCAGGCTAGCCTCAAACTCAGATTTGTTTTTATTCTTAAACTTCATTTTCATCCTATCAGGCTGATAATTTAGAAATATAATCTATTGGTGTGCTTGTGAGTTTTAACTTATTATCTGATTTGTGTATGATTCATTCTGATAGAGGCTCTTTTTCTGTTTTAGGTTTCTACCATGAATGAAATGAAAAGTTATTCCCAAGCTGTCACAGGAGTGAGTTTCTTAATTTTCTAGGAACAGTTGTTTCTTTTTGTTTTTTGCTTTTCTTACAAATCCGAGTTGTTGAATCACTGTTTTAAAGCTGCTAGATGTCTCCCTGGAAATGTCTACCAAATGCATTACTCTTTGTCAGCAGTAATACTACAGTCGCTAACTCACAGCGGCATTTACCCCAAGTCCTTTTGTGTTACTCAGCTTTCATGGTGCAGAGACAGCGGCATGTTACATCTCTGACATCGCACTTAGAGAACTGCACCCTTTGTACTCACACATTTATTTTGTGTTGTGGGACCAAGGCATGCATGTGGAGGTGAGAGGACTTTGGGGAGTCAGCTCTTCATCCACTATGTGGGTTCTGAGGGTTCAACTCAGGCCACCAGCGTGGCAACAAGTACTTTCATTGTAACTCTAAGCCATCCCATCTGCCTTAAATACTGTGTCAGCCTCCTGTGTAGCCCTCATCACATTGGCTAAAAGTGGGCTTCTGAGGTACTTCCCGTTATCTTTGAGAGGATGCTCATATTTTCTTCAGGGTACCTTGAAGCACTTTATTTGTATTAGTTTAAGACTTTTTCTCTTCAATAAGTAATTCACTTTTATTTGAATGATACCCCAATCCTAGGATAAGAAGAATCTTCTGGAATTTTGATAAATGTTAGATATAGAAGTATATTGGGGCAAAAGAGGCACCTCTAGCTCAAACTATGTAAAAGCATTCTGAGGTTGCTGAGGATGCAAGAACTGCTGTCAGAATATTAGAGCATTCTAGCACTGGGCCTCCGAGGGAGACGAGGTAAACTGAGAATGATTTGGTAACTCAGCTGTCTTGCTGTTTTGCAGTTCTTTGCTAGTATGTTGACATATCCCTTTGTGCTTGTATCTAATCTTATGGCTGTCAACAACTGTGGGTAAGTACTTTGGGGGGCGGGGGTTGTCTAGTGTTTATACACGTTTGCATAATGTGCTGGGTGTCTTTCACAGTGGTTTTCCCTTGTATTTACAAAGGCAGAGTGTGTCACCAATTCAACTGGTCTAGTTACACAGCTTGCCATGGGGATCCTTTTGCCTACTAAGTGCAGAATATGAGGGCAGGGCTGTATTCAATCTTAACTGTTGAGCAGGTACAGGGAATCCAAACTCTGAAGGGCTTTCATGGCAAGTGCTTTACCCACTGAGCCTTTTTTTTTTTTTTTTTTTCATTCTCTGAGAACTGAAACCAAGTCTTCATGTGTGATAGACATATGTACTCCACCAGTTATTTGCAGCCCCAGTTCTCCTTCCCTTCTTTGCACTTCTTTCTTGGTAAACTGCTCCCCATAAAACTGGAGTTATAGATGGTTGTAAGCCATCATGTGGGTGCTAGGAATCAAAGCTGGGTCTTATGCAAGAGTAGCAAGTGTTTTTAATTGATGAGCTGTCTCTTTAGCCTCTAAGATTTTATTACAGTCGTAGGGTTTCTGTGGCTCTGTAGAGATGGTATAACCACAACAATTCTTATTAAAAAAAAAAAAAAAAAAAAAACATTTAATTAGGGCTTGCTTACAATTTCAGAGGTTTAGTCCATTATCATGGAAGGAAGCTTGACCGAGTGCAGGCGGACATGGTGCTGGAGAAGGGGCTAAGAGTTCAACATTTGGATATTAAGGCAGCAGGAAAGACTGAGCCATTAGGCCTATCTTGATCTTAGGGAGACCTCAGAGCCTGCCCCTAGGAACTCACTTCTCCAACAAGGCCACCCCTCCTAATAGTGCCACTCTCTATGAGCCTATGGGGACCATTTTCTTTCAAACCACTACAATTATTAATTATGTGTATGCATGCCTGTCTATGGGGATCTGTGCAAATGAGTGTAGGTACCCAAGAAAACCAGAAGGGTGTCAGATTCCCTACAGCTGGAGGTACAGGTGATTGTAAGCCGTCGGAAATAGGTGCTAGGAAATGAACTCAGGTCCCCTGGAAAAGCACACCACTAAGCCATCTCTCCAGTCATCAGATTGTTTTTAAGTAGCTACTTCATATCTTTTTGGAGTATAGAAACTATACGTAAAGTTTATAAAGTATGTGGACGCACGCACATGTGCACACATAATGTCTGTGTGGATACACATTGTATTGTGTGTGTTTTGGGGGGGGTGTATGTGTGGAGGCCAGAGGTCAATTCCTCAGGTGCCATTCACTTTGTTTTTTAAGACAAGTTCTTTCATTGGTTGGCCTAGAACTAGATTAGATTCATCTAGGTTAGCTGGCCAGTGAGCCCCAGGGATTTGCCTGTCTCCACCTGTCGGGCACTGGGATATGTTCGAGAACACCATTGATTTCCAATTTCCAGATGTCAAGTGCCTCTACCACATCAGCAAAAATATCGCGTCTTGAATTAACTCAGAAGTCTGTTCTATAGTTATCCATGGTAGTGTGTGCCTTAATCCTCGTACTTGAGAGGTGGAGGCAGGAAGACCGTATGATGATCAAAGAAAGCTAACTTGGGTATAAGCAAGTTTAAGGCCAAAATGTGTGCTACATGATATCCTGTGTCAGAAAAACAAAAATGGGGCTAGAGAGGTGGCTCAGTGAAGTAGAGCACATACTGCTTTTCCAGAGGACCTGAGTTCAGTTCTCAGCACCCATGTCATGTGGCTCACAACTGCCTGTAACTCCAGCTCCAAGAGATCTAACTCCCTGGCCTGGTTTCTATGGGCACCCCCACACAAATATACACAAACATACTTACATATAAATCTTTTAAAAATCTTACATAAAATCTTAAAAAAGAAAGCCTTTAAAACTGTAATATCTGACGTAATATGTCTTTTAGATATGCTTTACAAGAAATAGCTATGTGGAATTTTTTAGTCAAGTTTGACTGACATTGTTGTTTTCTGATTTTTAGAGTAGTCTCCATGTTTTAGCCTAGCACATTCTTTAAAATAAGTTAAATAGCTGATCCTGGTAATAAGCATCTTTAATCTTAATACTCAGGAGGCAGACACAAGTGGATCTGAATTTGAGGCCAACTAAGGTCAGTTAGACCCTGTAATTCAAGATCCTTGGGCCTCTGGGATCTTTTGACCTCCAGGAAGGTATGGGTGCACAGACATTCATGCAGGCAAAACAACCATACACATAATTTAAAAAAAAAAATGAGTTAAAAAAGAATTGGTTATGGATTGTATTCAGGTAAGAGAGTGTCAGTAGTCTTTATATCTGTTATCATATATAGAGTCTTTATGAAGAAAATTCATTCATAAATTTCTTTTCCCAGATGGTTAGTCATGTTGTTCATTTATCCACTAATGAAAAAGCTAAATGTATCAGAAAATAAAATCAAGTCATGATTCTGACAAAGAATACAGTAGGGATGAGAGTTTGTTGATAGAGATGGGAAGGAAATAAGAAGTGTGAGGGACAGAGTAATAGAATACATACTACATGTGTATGGAATTGTCAGATAACAAAATTAATGAAGTTTCTGTTTGCTGACTTAAAACCCAACTATAGGATAGTTGATCTTTCTTCTGGTGTAATTTGTCTCATTAAAACTATCTCAGCATAGGGAACCTATGCTGGAATTTTGCCAAAAAACTGTTGATGATGTAAATAATGTTTTCAATTTCAGGCTTGCTGGTGGATCTCCTCCTTATTCCCCAATATATACTTCTTGGATAGATTGCTGGTCCATGCTACAAAAAGCGGTATTTTTATCTCTCATTTTGTTTTTGTTCTCTTAATTTATCAGCTGGAGTAGAGAAGTACAAATCCCCACATGTTAACCACAAGCCATTTGAATGATAGGATGAAGTTACAAATAGAATCCAGATAATTTTCCTAGTTATTTAAGCAATAGCCTGATTTCAAACCCTTTTCCAGACTCACTCCTATTTTGGTGCTGGGGATTGAACCCAGGACCTCACACAGGCTGAGCATATATATGCTCTGCACTGAACTCAGCCCAGCAGACTTGTCTGTCTGCGACTCCTGCGAACCTCAAGTTAATGTGAAGAATGAAAATAAGACATTATTTACTTGACAAAAGTTTGTCAAAGTGATACCTACAGAACTGGCTGCTTGCTTCCTATTTTGTTAGTGGATGAGTGTCAAAACTGTTAGTTTATGGTTACTGCTAGGAGTTACATCATTGACCAAATACTTTTGATCAATTTAAACAAAGTTTTAGTAGGCACTAAGATAATGGATAGGCTGTCCACTAACTTTAGCATGGGATCAGGTAAAATGGCCATCAGTTTACAGATGGGTTTGAGTGGCAAGCACTTTTAAAGGATTGCAGAGAAAAAATATAAAGAAGCTCTTTGTTGCATTACTTCATAGAGCCCAGGATACAGATGAGAAAGGCTTTGTTCACAGAACTCAGGCTCTCCCAGATTAGACTCTGAAGCAAAAGGTCCAGTTGTTACTATGGTTACTTTTGCTCACTGTTCGTTCATGCTAGCTGAATCCAAGCTAGAATCTTTGAATGAGTTCAGTACCATTGATGTTGTGGGTTTCCTTCTGAATTTTACAACCCTTTCTTGTTTTAATTTAGTTTGATGTTTTTATTATTTTGTTTTGTTTTGTTTTGTTTTTGTTTCCTGGAGTGCTAGGGATCAAACCCAGAGCCTTCCAAATAAAAGGCAAGAGCTCTGCCACATTGCTGCCTTTCCATCACTCTTTTTCAGTTTCCTTTTGTGGTATTGGTCATTGAACCCAGGGTCTTGCACATGTGTGGGAAACACTTCACCACTAAGCTATACCCCCAGCTCTTCTCCAGACCAGATTTGAACTTCTTATAGGACAGTCTTCCACTGTGGTTCCCATTTCTAAGTAATGCCCTGTTGTAGGAGGAAAGACCTTAGAAAATGGATTAAGGTGCCAGAAAAACCTTATCTGGGAAACAAACATTGATCCTGTACGTGCTTAGAAAATCTGTGATATAGCAGATAAAATGCTAAACATTTTCCATGACATTCTCAAACTAGCCTTTGAAGATCTGTGTTATTCATATGTTATTCAAACAACAGTGTTTCATATATAAAGAAGCTGGTGTGAGAAGTACTTAATGAAAGTTCTGTGACCCAGCTTTACTGGTGGTTCCAGTCTTTTTTTTTTTTTTTTTTTTTTTTTAAGATTTATTTACTTTATTTATGAGTACACTGTAGCTGTCTTCAGACACACCAGAAGAGGGCATCGAATCTCACTACGGATGGTTGTGAGCCACCATGTGGTTGCTGGGATTTGAACTCAAGACCTCTGGAAGAGCAGTCAGTGCTCTTAACCGCTGAGCCATCTCTCCAGCCCCTGGTGGTTCCAGTCTTACCGTACTCATTTCAGTCACATCCCCTAGAAATGTGTCCAGTTCTAAGTGCTGGTTTAGATCGGCCATATTCATCTTCATGCTAGACTTTACTTCTGTTTCTTCTCTTTTCCAGGGAAATATGAGCCGAGGAAACAGCTTGTTTTTCCGGAAGGTTCCATGTGGGAAGACTTACTGTTATGACCTGAGAATGTTAATTTGAAGATGTGGGGCAGGGACAGTGACATTTCTATAATCCCAATGCACAGAATTATGGGAGAGAATGTTGATTTCTATACAGTGTGGCACGCTTTTTTAATAATCACTTAATCTTGGGAAAATGGAGGTGATTGGTGTCTGGCTTTTTTGTTCTTTGTCCTAGCACAACATCATTTACCACTGGTGTTCCCCATTAGTTATTTGAAATGGGACCTTTATTTCTCTAAATTCTTGTTTTAAACAGAAAACAGACATATTTTACTTAAGGAACAAAGCAGGTTGTTATGTAGATTTGAGTCTCAGGTTAGGACTTTGTCAAATGAAGAATAGAATCCCAATAAGAAGGAACTAATTCTATAAGAGTTAATAAAATTAAGAATGCATACCATGTGGGAGTCTATGAATTACCTGAGCAGATAGATACTAGAAAGTCAGCAGCACCTAGTCTACCTCCCACCATGCTTGCAAGCAGTCGGCCCATCTTACCTCTCAGTGCTGCCGAGCTACTGCAGAGATTTCTGCCTTCTGTTACTATAGAAGAGAAAGTCATCACCACCAACAAAGAAAAAAGTCAGTTACAAAGCCTTAAGCAAGGTTTGGGAAGCAAGTACGATGGCCTTTCACTCCAAAGAAGCTCTTTTAGCTTCTTGTAGCACGAGAAGCAAACTGTAGCACAACAGTAGCTCCTAAGTGCTTAGTGCCCACCAGCCTCTAAGGTCTGTCTTCACTGCGGTTCCCATTGCCTATAAGCTTCTGCTTCTAAGCGTTTGCTTCCTTTTTGTTACTGCAGAAGGTGAGTAGTTTGGCTTTCATTTCTGATGACACCCTTGAAAAGTATATTTGTAACTCCTTATCTGGTGACTGGGACTGAAGTCCATATGGTTCCTAGGATATTGTCCAGCTCGCATGTCAGACCCTCAGGCATATTAAAAACACTCATGGAGGAAAAAAATCACTTTAGAAGGAAAATTTTCAACTCAAACATTGAGCTCCTATTCACTCAGGCCTTTTAATGGCAGGTTAAAATGCTCATAAGATGAGAAAGCCCTAAGGTGTAGATTCACTGGTACTTTGCCAAATGAGTAAGCACTGACTTTGCTACTTTTAGACTTCTATCAATGCAGCAGAGTCCATGGTGTTAGGTAGTGTGAGCATGCAGGGTCTCCTCCCACTCAGGGTTAGGGATGCAACCAGAAGCTCATGAGTAGCTTAGCTTGAAATGTCTTTGATGTCAAAAGTACTTTGTCTTAAAAGCAATGTAAATTTTATATCCTATTCAATATTATCTGCATCTGTTTTAATATAAAATGTGTTTTTGCATTACCTACTTTTTTCTCCCAGAAAAAGTCAAGTAAAGGTGATCTAGGAAAATGCACCATGTCTATCCTGCTGCTTCTGTACACATACACACTCCTGGGTTCTGAGAACATAGCTGGCTGTCAGAACCAGTCCACCACCAGAGGGCAGCAGGACTTTGGTTTTGCCTGTGTATTTTTGCCTGCTGGATTCACCATGGTCTAGGATTTCAGTGAAAATAAAAGTCTCATTTGTAGAGCTAAGGTGTGACTTAGTTCAGGAGCACTTACCTAACAGAAGCTAGTAACTGGGTTCTATCTGCAGATCAGAAGAATGGGAACAGTGGTACTAACCCAAAACCAGGGAGATACAGGCAAGGAGGTCAGGACTTCACAGATCATCCATTACATAGCAAGTGGGAAGCTAATGTAGACTACATAAAGATGCTATATCAAAAAAACAAATATCAGCTGAATGTGATACACATGCCTTTTAATCCCAGCACTTGGAAGGCAGAGACAGGCAGATAGTGAGCTGTGCCAACCAAGGTTCCCTAGTGAGAACCTGTCTCAAAAATCAGTTATGTTTCTATCTATAATCCTGACAATTTAGGAGGTTGACACATAGAGGATCACAAGCTTGAGGTCAGCCTGGGTTATATAGACCCTGTTTCAAACAGTCGTGATGCCTCATGCCTGAGATGCCAACACCAAGAAGGCTAAGATGAGAACTGCTGTTGAGTTCCTGGTCTCTAGCACTGCCTCAGCCTGGGAGGGCTGTTTTACTGGTCCAGAATGTTCTGTTGTGAGAAGCTCTCAAATGACCTAGCTTGGTTTAGCTGAGACAGAGTCTTCCTGTGTAGCCATGCTGCCCTTGGCCTCCCATTTTCTGGGATTATAAATCTTTGACACAGTGCTCAGCTCTCTATTGGACTTTCTAGAAAAACTAGCTGGAGTGGGCTGGAGCAACATCAGCAGTTAGGACTCACAGTTGCAGGGGGCCAGCGCTCAGACTGGATGGCTCAAAACTGTCTCTAAACTCCAGTTCCAGAGCCTCTGGCCTCAAACTTAAGACATTTCCCTCTGCCTCTAGAACGATGGAATTAAAGATGTTCACCAGCACACCTGGCCCATTTCTTTTTTAAAGGCTATATTTTTCTAGAGGAGATGAGAACGTTACCCTTCCATCAGTTGTGCCTACATGAGAGTTTTGAGAGAGAACTCTTAAGGGCCCAGGAGAGAGAGACAGACAGACAGACACTGACTGACCTGGAACAAACTCGCCATAACCCTGAAGAACATCTTCAAATAGATTCTGATAGTTACAGCAAAATAGGGGCAGAGGACAGCAAGACAAAGAGGACAAAGCAGTTGTGTGTGAACAGGGTTGTGAGGATACAAACTGACAGCCTCCAGCTCTCTGATTGAAATTTTGTGGCATCAACCTCTACCTCAGAAAGGCAGCCAAAAGAACTTTCTAGAAATGCCAGGCTTCCATGGAAAATGTCAGGTACTGCATCTGCTTCCAGAGTACCAGGAAGTCCCAAAGGTTAGGTAAGGACAAGAACTAGAATTGCACATTCTTTATCCAGTCTGGGACCCTGCCTTCCTGGTGGCTGGACTGATGAGAATGTCTTTTGGCTAAAAACAAAGAGTGTTCTCACTTTCCCCTGGAATTCAGCCCATCCCTCCCCTGAGGAATCAACACTTGGGTTTTAGAAGTCAGTAAATAGGAGAGTTCAGGGCTCTGGGCAGCAGAGGACAGAAGGCCTGTGATAAATATTCTTGTCTTCCATGGTGTTTGCCATCCACTGAGAGATACACAAATGGTAAGATCATGAAAGATCTAATAGAGGAATTAAGATGGCTCATCAGGTAAAGACATCTGATGCCAAGCATGAGTTCAATCTCTGGCACCACATATGGCATGTGCTTCACACACACAATAAAGAAGTGTTGGATTAGTTGAAACCACGTGTAAAATAGTAAAGTGTGGTGCACTCACTGAGCTCTGAAACACTGCCTATTGCTGGCTGCATGGTATGAGCACCGTGGAGTCACCAAGAGGGATAGTTCCTATCTAGCTGGACAGTCAATGATTTAATGAAGGTGTGACATTGGTTTCTTCAATATTTAAGTCGTGTGCTCACGCAGCTGGAGATGGGGAGGTCTGCTAAGGCCATGAATGCATATAGAAGCCAGAAGGCAACCTGTAGGAGTCATTTGCGTTGGTTTGGTTTTGATTTTATGAGGCTGTTAATTGAGTCCAGGGCTTGTGCATACAAGGCAAACACTCTACAATTGAACTGTAAGTTAAAGCTTTAATCCACTTGAATTCAACCTTCTCATCTTTAAAATGAGGAATCATGCTTATTGGAGTATTAAATCAAGTATATCGGTCCAGTTAGTATTTGGTGTGTTGCAGCTATTACTGCTAAGATAGGGGATATTTTACAGATAACAAAGCAAAGTCAATAAAATTCATAAAGGAATTGAGGAGCAGCAGGACTGCTTCTCTGGCTGTCCTACCCTTTCTTCAAGGCCACTGAACCAGCACTGGGAACAGAGTCCAGCACATTCTACTACTCAGCAGACATTTGGTGTCCAGCTGTCTGTGCACATACCTGCCTGAGTGTCTCACAGAATCCCACACTGAGTTAGTAGCCTCTATTCCCTAGCCTGTAGCAATACTTCTACTTTCCAAGTTTCTTAAACATGTTATTAGCACCCTGTTTCCTAAGGCAGAAACCCTGGAGTCCTCTCTACCCTATCCTTCAGAAAAGTCTCCACTAGGTTCTCAGGAGTGCTGCCTCACAGGTGTGTATCTACCCAACTTCTCATCAGTCTCCTGTCTTTTCTGCTCACCAAGGGAGGAAGGGGGTAGATAAGCCTCAAGCTAGCTCTGTGGTGTGACGGGGCACAGAAGTCTCTTGCAAGGTATACCCTAAGTGCCATGGGCAATATCTTTTTCTAACCTACAGCTCTCAAGACTTCTCCCTACCTCCTTTTCATCCCTACAGCCTGAGCTCAAGCCCAACAGGCCCAGGTCTGTAGCCTCTGCTCTGTGTTTGTTCCCCTAGCAGCTGCTCTCTATGTTATCTTCCCACTGCAGCCTTTGTGCAGGAGGAGCCAGGCTGAGAGATGGGGCTATTTATAAATGGAAAGTGGGTGTAGAGTTCTGCAGTCACAGATGTTTTAAACAGCCTAATTCCTCCTCGCCTCTTTGAAATTCCTGTCCACCCCCTCATCGCCATTTTCCTCAAATCATCTACATTCCTGTCCTCCCCTTGGTCAGAGCCACAAAGGAAAAATAAAAAATAAAAACTCAGCTACAGAATAAAACTGAGAGCTGTAACAGCTCACCAAGAATGTGGGACACATGAGTACAGGTACTCATAGATGTTAGCAATGATCCCACAATCCAGATAATATCCCCAGTTTCCAAATCAGAAAACAACAAAAAATGATATAAGTTTGCTAGTAAGCACCAGAGAGGTAGAATTCACACCTGAGTGTAACACAGCACACTGATGATAGTGTGGGAGGAACCAGACACAGTGAGACATGGAAGCCAAATCCCTTTGGAAGGATATTTTGGACAGCCTAGCCACATTCCAATGGCTATACAGCAGTGGACTGGCCACTACAATCTCCCCCAGCTAAGCCAGTGCCTCTCAACCTTCCTAATGCTGTGACCCTTTAATACGGTTCCTTATGTGTGGTGACCCCCAATCATAAAGTTATTTTCATTGCTGCTTCATAACTGTAATTGTGCTACTGTTATGAATAGTAATGTAAATATCTGATTTGCAGGATATTTGATATGTGAGTCCTATGACCCAGAGGCAGATTAGGGGAACCAATAGCAGTTTCTGCAACCCCCCTCTGGCTACCCTGAAGCTTCTCTCCTAAACTTTCTTCTGATCATGAAAAGGGATGCCTGGTGCTTTCAGTCAGTAAGCAGGAACCAAAGCCAGGCTTGGCACCTATAATCTCAGCACTTGGCAGGCAGAGGCAGAACTATTGCCACAAGGTTGAGGGCAGCCTAGGCTATGGTGTGAGACTTTGTCTCAAAAATCAGAAAGAGAGGAAGAGCTAACTTAAGAGGAAAGGGCATGTTGAGGAGAGACTGAATTGATGCTTAAATGAGTTAAGGAAGTCAGAGAAAAGTTATCTCGAATTTAGAAACTAGATGGCAATGTGGTACAAATAGTATAGGAAGGTCTAAAGAAGAAATGAGGACATGCCATTCGCAGAAAGTCGCTCAGTGGGAGAAAGGAGGACAGAACCAAAGACGCCAGCTTCACATCACAGAGGGTGCAACTAACACCATTTAAAAGGCATAACAGCTGGAAGGAAAGGTGAGTCCTCAGAAATCAGGGCTCTCAAAAGGGATAAACATATCACTGACTTATTTTCAGTGTCAGAGGAATGAGTCGAGGACTGGGCTTCTCTTGGGAATGAACTGACAGTTGTCAGGGAAGGCTGGGTACTCAGCCTAGCTTTTCCACATTGTCCCTGGGGGAAGCATTGCTAAGCCAGGCAGGGGAAAGGCAAACATGGTTTAGAGAAGGCAATGAAACCCTGCAAAGGAAGAAATGATGAGAGAAAGCTGAGGTACCTAGCCATTCCAAATGAGCTGCAAAACCGGGGTGCTGAGGAACCCTTGAGATAAGTTTTAGAAAAGTGCCACAGTGGTATGGGTGAGAAATATGTAAAGCTGATTCTGGAAACACCTGATGGATATGTCTTTGATGTCTCCTCCCACCCCCAAATTTATTGTAGTGTTATATATAACACTAGGTTCTGAGTTTGAGAAACCTAAAGAAATGATTTGGTGTTTTCTTTTTTTTTTTTTTTTTTTTTTTTTGGTTTTTCGAGACAGGGTTTCTCTGTGTAGCCCTGGCTGTCCTGGAACTCACTCTGTAGACCAGGCTAGCCTCGAACTCTCGAACTCAGAAATCCGCCTGCCTCTGCCTCCCAAGTGCTGGGATTAAAGGCATGCGCCGCCACCGCCCGGCTTTGGTGT